TCACTAGATCGAACTAAACGGACCAATCTAGATTTAGATGGGAGACAAACTACATCCTAATAAACAATTACTAGTGGTATTTATTTGTATTTTTAATTAAAAAGTTATCTTTTTGTATTGGGTACCAATTTATTATAATTTGAAGGGTAAATTACAAATATATTTCTTGAGATTTGATTAAAATATAAATCGTCCCTGTGATTTTAAAAATTACTTTAGGTTTCTAATTTCATAACAAATCGTCATTATTAATAAATCACTAAGTCAATTAATATTTTTTAATGATATTACAAATATGTTTCGATTAATAATTTAGGTAATTTTATTATTGTATAAAAGAACAATTATGAATTTTATGTTTTTAGTTAATTTTGTTAAATAAAAAAATTCAATAAATGAGATATTTGTAATTTTTCAAATCACAAAAGATAATTTATATTTTAGACAAATCTAAAGAGATATATTTATAATTTATCTTAAATTAAATGTAACGACTTATTACCGGAGAATCTTTAAATTCTTTTTTCTATAGTTTTATTTATTTTTTCGTGGAGTACTAAACCTTTTGTTAAAGTTACGAGTAAAAAATCATCGAATTCTTTGTGACTATTTTTATTATTACCCGAGAATCTTTAAATTCTTTTTTCTATAGTTTTTTTTTTTTGGTGGAGTTCTAAACCTTTTGTTAAAGTTACGAGTAAAAAATCATCGAATTCTTTGTGACTATTTTTATTAATTTAATTTATAACACTTAAGTAATAAATTTAAGAGTGAATTACATTAATAGTTATTATAATTTGGGACTCGTATTACTTTAGTTTATGACTTTTTAATTATGATATATTTGATCTTAAATTTTGAATCTTATTTCAAATAAGGATAATTGAAGATATCATTACTTAATTTAAAGGACAAAATCGTTAATTTGATAAAATATAAGCTAATTTGACAAAAATAAATGTCAAAAAAATATTTTTAAATTTTTAAAAATTATTTCTACCCACCAAAGATGAAATTATGTAGAATTGATAAATCATTTAGACATTTATTTATTTTACCAAATTAATTTTTATTATGTGTTTGGATGATGATCATGTAATGGGTGGTTAGGATTTTAATGTATAATCGATGCATTTAATATATTAAATGTTTTTATTTGAATTTTTTTTGATTTAATAGATTAATCTAATAATGATATCAAAGTTGTTGCTATATTTGACTTTTGAAAAATAGAAACTAATTTAGTGAAAATAAAAATAACTATTGATTACATAATCATCATCTAAACACATAATAAAAATTAATTTGGTATAGTAAATAAATAAATGTCCAAAAGATCTATCAATTTTATATAATTTTGTCTTTAGTGGATAGAAATAATTTTTAAAAATTCAAAAATATTTTTTGGCATTTATTTTTGTCAAATTAGTTTATATTTTATCAAATTGACGACTTTGCCCTTGAAATTGAGCCATAGTATCTTCAATTATCCTTAATTGCAACAAGATTTAAAATTTATGGTCAAATGTGTTACAATTGAAAAATCAGAGACTAAAGTGATACAAGTCACAAACTATAGGGACTGGTAGTATAATTCGTTCTTTTAACAATCTATCAAGTTACTTAGAATAGCACCCCAAATCCAAATCTAATTTGCCAAAGTAAAAAATGTTTTTTTATTTTTTAATCTTATATTACAAAATAAATTAATATATTAATTAATTAAATTAAAAATTATTAGGTATCATTCTTTGTTGTTAATTACTATGGGATCCCCAGATTTTGCTCGTAGGAGTTAATTAAGTGCTCTGTGAACTTTTGTTGCTCTCTATGACACTTTCATACAATTATGTTAACTATACAATATAATTCGGGAAAATTATATGTGATAAATGTCCCAAAATCCTGTAGGTGCTTAAGCAAACAAAACAAAAGAAAAAAAGTCCATATATTCCATCAAAGAAAATAAAAAATTATATATGATAGATGTCCCAAAATCCATATATCTAGCATTCTCCTTTTGATCTTTGATAAATTTAGCTGAATTTAGCTTGAATCAGCACCCAACCACAAAAGAAAAAGAAAAACAAAAAGTGAAAGAAAAACCAAAAAGGAAGAAACAATTATTAGCTATACAGATTGAAAATCTTTTGCATGACCCATGTCCTTTCATTGCAATCTTCATATGAATCCATTTCTTATAATGCACGATGATATTTTATTAATATTTACATATAGTTTCACAATAAAGAAAGTGTGTGTATTCACAAAGATTAGACTACAGTAAGTTTTGTTAATGACTTTTGTTTATGTGGCTTTTAATCTACATGGAAAGTTCTCACTCTGATGATTGCAAGATTCCTATTAAATAAGTTCAAATAAGAGCTTTTTGAAGTCTTTCTTTAAACACAAACAAAACTTTATATTCCATCAAAGCTTCATTGTGCACTAATTATATATCATGTATCCATTTGACAAAGACACTTTGATATGAGGGAAAGGGAGAGAGAACAATTCAGACAATCTTTTGAAAGATTGAGGCAGCATTCCTCAAGCCATGGTTAATTATAGTGATGGAAATGTCACTTTATGAAATACTATCTACCTAAAAAGTATTTTAAAAGTGTACAAATGTATAATCGATACATTTAATATATTAAATGTTTTTATTTGAATTTTTTTTGATTTAATATATTAATCTAATAATGATATCAAAGTTGTTGTTATATTTGACTTTTGAAAAATAGAAACTAATTTAGTGAAAATAAAAATAATTATTCATTACATGATCATCATCTAAACACATAATAAAAATTAATTTGGTACAGTAAATAAATAAATGTCCAAAAGATCTATCAATTTTATATAATTTTGTCTTTAGTGGGTAGAAATAATTTTTAAAAATTCAAAAATATTTTTTGGCATTTATTTTTGTCAAATTAGTTTATATTTTATCAAATTGATTACTTTACCCTTGAAATAAGCAATGGTATCTTCAATTGTTCTTATTTGGAACAAGATTCAAAATTCAGGATCAAATGTGTCACAATTGAAAAGTCAGGGATCAAAGTGACACAAGCTCCAAATTATAGGGACCGTTAGTGTAATTCATCCTAAATTTAATTTAAAAAATTTTGAGGCAATAACTCTAAGCTCTAGTTTTTTGTAGCTCTAAAAAGCAAAATAATTTAAAAGATTTTAGGGTTAATTAGAAAAAAAAAAAAAAAACCCAGGGTTTAGCGCATTTTTCAATTTGAATCCCAGGTTTTGAATTTCGATAATTTAGAGCCCATCATTCCACCTGTGTTGCAATCCGACACCCCGTGCATCTCCGTCTCCATTAGTTAATGGAAGAATGATTTCGGCGCCAAAATTGTACAACAAAGCTATAATCTTCACGATTCAGGGCAAAAAAGATCCCCCTATTGCGATTTAAGGCATCATCCATGCAACCCACTTGGTGCGATTGGTGATTCAACCTGCGATTAAAATCACGTAGCGAAGGAAGACATGAAGTTTATAGTAGCCACTTGGTGCGATTGGTGATTCAACCTGCGATTAAAATCACGTAGCGAAGGAAGACATGAAGTTTATAGTAGATTTTTCAAAAAGCTTTGGACTCTGAGATAGAGGTAAGAAACGGGTTGGTTTTTTGTTGTTTTATACGGGTTTTTTGATTTATTTATTTATTTTTGTCCATTGTTGACCTTCTTTTTGTCTCCATTGTTGGCCTTCTTTTTGTCTCCATTCATTTATGACATTGTTTTGCTCTCCATTTGTCAGTGCAAACTATTTTCTATTCCATCAAATGAGGTGATAGGAAAGACAAATAAACAAAGTGAAAGAAAAAAATGAGTGAAGGTAATAGTTGGGGTGGGAACAATTAGGGTGAGTTGACTCGTTGCAGCTATGGATTAAGAGCGAACATTAGAACTTTGTGGACTCATGCTAATCCTGCTAGGAGGTTTTTGGCTTGTCCAAATTATGGAGTAAGTTTATACAATTTTTCAATAAATTCAATTAGCAATTTTTCAGTATTTATAGGAAATTGAGAATAAAATAATATCTTCAATTTGAAGATGATAGCAATTTTATGGAAAAATGACATGAACACTTACTTAACTTTGTTTATGTTTGCTTGCATTTACAGAAAAATGGGGCTTGTGATTTCTTTTTCTGGTACGATCCACCCACATGTGCTCGTGGTAGACAAGTTTTGCCGAAGTCGGTGCATAAGGTTGCAGCCCTAGAAGAATTTTTCAAATGAGATTGCACGATTAGAGGATGCTATTCAACGTTATCGTGCACAACAGAAGTGGCTTGTCATTGCTTTGATTGCTACATTGCTTATGAATGGACTGTTTCTACTCCAAAATAGTTGAAGGAAAACTTGTGTTTAGGCTTCCTATGTAATTGATAATATGTGTTTTTGCTTGGTGCATTACTTCCACAATGTGTTTTGTAATTGCAATATTTTTTTGAACAATAGCAATGTTAATTGTGTTTGCAATGAAATAGTGAAATGGTTTGTTTTCAATTGTAATGTGTTTGCAATGTGTTTGCATTTATTTGTACAATGTAAATAAAATTGAAGCAAAAACCTGGTTTGACATAAGCATAACAAACATTGAACCATATGAACCTGTTTTTTGGCCACATGAAGTCACAACATAATTGAAGCTAAACAAACATTGCATAACAACCATTGAAGCATAATAACCATTCAAGGATAACTACAAACCAAGCATAAGAACCTGTTATTTTCCCACATGAACTTAGAACATAATTAAACCATTGAAGCATAATAACCATACAAGCATTGTTCAAGGTTTCATACGTTACAAATGGTTGCATAACCTATAAACCTAACAGCAGTAACTTCCATAACCCGTATGTACGACATAATTGTTCAACAACCATATTTTAATTACTAAAGTGGTGAGTAAGGTAAGATAAACCCCATGAATATTGCAAAAATCTTATTTTAATTACAAAAGCGTTCAAAGCCACTTGTTAATACTAGACTGGCTACCCATTGCTTGCTTCTTGCTTATGGTTGTTGCTGCTGACCTTGTCCTCTTCCTTGGTTGCCCATCAGTTGATTCTTCAACACCACTTTCTACTGCTGACCTCTTTCTAGATTGGCCACCATCAGGTTGTGTTTGGCTGCTCTCCCCTTTCTTTACTAATGCAGATGTCCTAAACCCTATGAATGTCTGTAAAAGAAGTTTGCTATTAGTAACATGTATTATTTATTAGTCACTAAACATTTTTTTACTTTCAGTTAATGGAATATTTATACTACTATTGGATTTCCCAGAAGGTCCACTTTTCTTTTCTTTGATTGTGACTATAACAACCACATTTAGAGCATTTTAGGGTAGACTGCCTCCTCTGCAACTTGTAAGGATTCTGAGGTTTATCTGGGTCTCTAACTCTGTGTCTTCAAGTCCTACCAGTTGGTCTTTTAAGCTTGGGGGGTAGAAGAGGGTCATACCCTATTTTAGGCCACATATCTGGACCATTCAATGGATTAATCAATGTCTCATAAGTCCTCAAAAAAGTTTCCTTCTTGAAATATGCATGAACATAATCTTCAACCCTTTCCTTCCGAAAAAATATAGCAGCTACACCATGGGGACAAGGGATTCCAGTGAGGTCCCACTCAAAGTATGTGCATGTTTTATTCTCTAAGTTTACTATATACCCATCCCCTCCATATCTTACTCCAAATTTAGCAACTCCTGACCATGTAGGTATCCATACTCTGGACTTCAGCTTCCTTTTTTCAACTTTGCTTTGTATCTTTTCATAAATAGGCCCTTTGTACTTCAGTATGTTGTCCCTACAGTCATGCATCCTCACCATTAAAGCCCTTCTAATCATCTCCATCACGGAAAAGATGTGTTTGTCCCTAGCTTCTAGCACCCTTGAGTTGAAGCATTCAGAGATGTTGTTTAGAAGACTATTGGATTTGGTTCTTGGACTAAACCTATGCCTAGACCATTGGACTGGGTTCACTCTCATCATCCAGTCATATGCCTTACTATCTATCCCCTGTAGCTTAGTCATGTGCCTCTCCCATTCAATCCTTGTGTATACTTTTGCTGCCTTCCAAACACAATCCTTCAACTCCTTCCCTTTAAACAACTTCTTAAAGTTTGCATACAAATGTTTGAAAGAGAACCTTTGATTGGCTTCAGGGCATACCAATCTCAAGCTTGGAATAAGTCCTTGTAACAAAAACAGATATCATAGCCAAACAATTAAATGACAACATTATTCTAGGAATAACATACTGATAAGATTAATTCGAAACATAACGAATACATCAAAATATTTACCTTCTGTCGATCAGTCATAAATGTCCATCCATGTTCTTCAATTGGGCTAATATCTTGTAACAAATTTTGCAAAAACCAAGTCCAGCTCTCCTTACACTCTGCCTCAGCTACATTATAAGCTATTGGATACATTTGATTGTTCCATCCCATCCAACAGCTGCAAATAACTGCCCTTGGCGTGGTCTTTTTGGAAAACAAGCATCCAACCCAATTAATGGTCTCACACCAGATAAAAACCCTCTCTTAATTCCACCAAGGCATACATACATTCTCTGAAACCTAGGTTTAACTACCAATTGAGGCCTCCACACATTTATGTCAACATTAGTACCCTCATTGGTTCTTCTCAACTCAACTGCATAATCTTATAGCCTACTATATTGTTCAGCATTAGTTCCCTCAGTCTTTTGAATTGCTATCTTTTTAGCTCTATAAGCTTTCATTGTTGACACACTTACAACAAAATCCTCTTTGATAGTTTCCTGAAACTCATTCAGTTTCAATGTTGGGGTGGTCCTAAATTTGTGAACATACTTCTCTACCAACCAAGAACTAGTAATTTGTTTATTCTTGTAAGTTCTAGAGCAAGAGTGTTTAGGTTGATATGTTTTTATCTACAAAGTGTTCTCTCCAGTCATCTTGGATGCATACAGTCTCCATTCACACCCAGTACTACAATTCACTTGAACTTTCCATTTTTCACTCTTTGTAAACTTTACATCATACCTCCCTTTTACTGCATATTCGTTGACAACATCTTTGAACTCATTTGCATTACTAAACAACATTCCTTGTTTGAATTCAATGTTCTGCATATCAACCTCGGGCCTAAATTTAGGGTACTTAGGCATGTTGTTATTATCCTCATCATCAAAGCCTATAGGGGTAACTAGTTCTTCCTTAGATGAATCTCCATTATTCACTTCACACTTATGATAATCTTTAAGCCCTTCTTCATTGACATATCTCCCAACATTATAATGTCATCAAGATCAAGATCATCTTCATCACTACTATCTGAGAAATGCCTGTCTGATTTGTCATCATTGCCATCATTGTTACTGTTTGAGTCCTCTTCACACTGGTCATTGTTATAATTTCCATCATTTTCCACATCCTTGACAGGCACATCAGTAAGGAATAACACAGGATGAGCAACATCTACATTATGTGGCTTATGATGCTCAATAAACGGATCTAAGGTATTTTTATTTTCCAAATAAGAAAACATTTCTATAATATCATGATCATTAGCCAACACTCTTAACCCTAAGACCAAATCTTTCTTGGGAATCCTATAGAAAATATGATTGTAATAAAAAAACACCCAACTCCTTCAACATGCACCCAATCTTTGGGACAGATAATTTATTAACATCAACTGCTTTAAATACATCAACATTACCCCCAACATAACTCCTTTAATCATTCTCAATAAAATATCCACTGTGATGTATAAGAACTGTAACAAAAGTTGCCATTACTGCATCCATAAATAAACAAAACAATAACAATAACTATGGGTCCACTTGCAAAACAAAGCATATTAAAAAAAAAAAAAAAAAAAACCCTCATATAAAGCAACTTGGCCCACATATCTCCATCTATGGAGAAAAAATATGACAGAAAATATGATTGCAGACCTTATGATTGCATGTTTGTATCCATTTATTTGTCTTGCATGCACCGAGGCTGGCGCATCATTCAAATTGCATCGTCATTTCAATACTTCTTTGAATATGTGTTTATCACATGTTGTTCAAATCGATTATATGCCATATTAGTAGTCGAGCCTATTAATTTCATATTGCATGTGTTGCATTAGGCGTTTTATATAGTTAGGATCATGCATTTTTCTAACTAGTTTTTGTTTTGGTTTGGAGTACTCGGTGGGTTTTAGGCTTTAGCATGCTTGCATGAGTGCGATTGCCATGTTGCCATGATAGTATGCTTGCCATGAGGCTGTGTGCTTAAATGCTGAACTACATGAATGATTGTGGATGAAGGCGTTGTTGCTTGAATTGGAACAATTCAAACGAATGTGTGTTTTAAGCCCACTTTGCGAAGTGGCAAATCATGTTTTAAGCCCATCATGTCTGATGGCAAATCCGCATTTTAGCCCACTTGAGGGTGGCAACTTGAAACCATTTTCGAAAACAAACATGAGTTGAATTTGTTCCAATTCTTGCGACTTAGTCTATACTTGCTTGTGTGCGTCACATAGTAAAGTTAGCTAATAACCGGAATAAGAACACATGAGGTTTTTAAAACAACATATCATGATTAGTGGAGGTCGATCTTTGATCAGGCGAGCGGGGGTGCTCATTTCAGGACCTTCTCCTCTCGTACCCAAGTTCCCGAGCCAAGGCAACTTTGGTGATGACGGACACGTGGCCTTTGGCACGAGTCAGGGTTTCCTAGATTTTCCAAAACAAAATATTTAGGTGGCGACTCTGTAATCTGGCAAAATAGTCCAGTTTTGGCATTATTTGATTCAAAATCAATTTTCCAAAAGATTTGCCGGAATGGACTCTTTGGTATTTATCAATTTCACATTGCACTTTGTGAGATTAGATTCAGAACCGTGATAGGAGTTCGAACTGTAGGACCAATTCGAGCTCTCCAAAAGGAGGCGCGAAGAAAGTTGAGCTACACAAAGACATGGAACAAAAACTAGCAGTAGCCAAAGATTTACTTGCCGGCTTGCCCGACGTAGTGACACTTCAGTCTACTCCCTCATTGCAATCCCAGACAAAGCCAAAACCAAAAAGGGTGAAAAAGGCCAAATCCAAGGCCAAAGTCACCACCATACCTTTAGATTTTGAAAAGGATATTGAAGATACAATAACAATATCCAAACTAGCCGACACCGAGAAGAGGGCAGCCGAGGCTGAGTCCTCCGATGTACCGCTGCAAAAGACACCGAGAACAGAAAGTCTAGATAGTGGAAGTAGTTTCCACCCTAAGGAGACCTGGGCTCCGGAGGTTTTGGTTGTAGATTGACCTTTCAAAGCCAGTGATAGAGCCATCGAGAGCCTTGAAGTCGGTGCTGCACTGTCAATGGCTATTCTCTTTTCGGCCAATATGAACCAGATGGCCGACTTCAGCCAATACGATAACTTTTCCATGATGATGCGACACTCAGTCTTGGTAAGTTTCTTATTTCTATCTTTCCATTCAACTTTAATTCAGTGTTTCACACTTAACATCAAATTCTAACTTGTTTATTTTCTTGTAGGCCACCCAGTACGCGTATTCGTATGCGGTCAAGGCCAAGTTGGTGAAGAAGGACTTGACCAAAAGACTGAAGAAGCTACTGGTCTCCTTTCTTCACTAAACAAGGCTAAGACCCACATTCAAAAGTTGATGGACAAGGCCAATGCTACCAAGTCTGCCTAGAGCAAAGCCGAGGCTGTTGCCAATGTAGCCAAGGACGCAGCCAAGGCAACTAAAAGTAAAGTACACTGAGTCTGAGGCAAAGGTCGTTGAAACCGAGTCCAAGTTTAAGGAGGCGCTGGAAACCAAGGAAGTCGAGGTCAATGCCGCTGATGAGAAAGTGTATGCGGAGGGGTAGGGCGATGTTCAGGACCAATATAGGAAGCAAGTTAATCTGGCCTGCAACAAAGGCTACTACCTCAGCTGGATGGCGGTACTGAAAGACCTGCCTATCCCCGCAGACTCGCCACTCTGTGATATCAGCTGACTCAGCATGCTTTTTCCTCCATCGCCAAACCAATTCGAGGACAAGGCTGAAGAGGAAAAAACTGAAGCCGATGAAGAGGCTGATGGTGCTACTAAGGCCAAGTCCCAACTTTTAACGATTAGGTCCGGGACTTGAACAAAGAGGAGGAAGACTAGGTTTCCAAAAAAACCTCTCCCCAAAAGGCTACCTCTGACGCCAAAATCCTTGTCACTGAGAGGAGCTTGGACCAAACTTTACTGGAGAACGACGCTGAGGTAGTGGTAGAAAAGATTGAACTAGTCACCGAGGCTGTTACAATGCCAAACGCCGAGGTGGATCAGCCCGAGGACCATGCTGATACTTAGAAATTTTTTCTTTTTCTTCTCTGGTTGTACTTTTTCTTTTCTTCTGAACAGTTATAATATTTTCTTTTGAACAACTTCTATTTTGTTATACCGATGTGCCTTCTTTTGTAACTGAACATGTTGTTTATTCAATGCAATTCTTCTTTTTCTTCTAAGTTCAATGTTGCCTTTTATAATTGCTTTCTGTATGCTTGCCATTTTCTCTATCTTGCATGTTTCTACACTTAGATTTTTTTTTAAAAATCTCTCAAGGTTTAACAACTTAGTTCTTTACTTCAGATCCAAATACCTCGGATACACTATCTCAAATTAGAACTGACCAATCGTCTCGAATAGTCTCTTTAACATTTATCTCGAATAACTTCAACTTGTAAAATTTTTCTCAAAATTTTTTTCCCGCATCATCTCGGATAATATCTCTAACATTTATCTAGAATAACATCAACTTGTAAAATTTTTCTAAATTTTTTTATAAGTGTTATATTTATTCATGCTTCATGCCTCCTAATGTGAACCTAAGTATCACTTATGTTCACATTAAGGTTGTATTGCTTGGTTCTTGCTTAAGTTTAATTTAGACATCCATGCCCAAGGTCATCGTGTTTGGCTCGTACAAACTAAACACTTAAGGCTTCACTTTAGTGTACCGAGAGTACTAGCTACCTCAACTTTTCGCACATACTGACCAAATCATGGATAGTTTCTCCTTGTTCCACTTTGAAACATCGCCTTATGCTTAGTTCAACTCTACTACTATTGCAAGCCCAAGTTAGTCGCCTTGTTCACCGTAGGAACATCGCCTTGTTTCTCACTGAAACAACGCCTTGTACTTAGTTTAAAACTACTATCATGCCAAGTCTAAGTTATTCACCTTGTTCACCACAGGAACATTGTCTTTTACTTAGTTCAACTCTGCCGCCATGGCAAGTCTAAGTTAATCGCCTTGTTCATTATGCGAACACCGCCTTACACTTAGTTCAAATCATGGCAATTCTAAGTTGATCGCCTTGATCATTATGGGAGCATCGCCTTATACTTTCTCTGTCGTATCTCGCAATCATATCTTTCAATAACATTTTGTAAAACCAAAAATCGATACTAGT